AGACGCAAAAGCCCTCACAGAAAAAGAGGCTGACATTGCCCGCAGGGTCCCCTATGGGCTGGCAAAAGCCTACAGCACCCGGGATTCCCAGGCGGTCTCCCATCCAAGTACTAACCGAGCCCGACCCTGCTTAGCTTCCGAGATCAGACGAGATCGGGCGTTTTCAGGGTGGTGTGGCCGTAGGCAGCCTCTCCCCTGCCACCACCGCTCTCGGCGCCCCCGCACACGCTGCCGACCCGCACTCACACCCAGCCCCTAAAGCCAGGGGCACCATTGTGACGCCCAACCACGCCAGCGCCCCCACGCACACAGCCCCGCACGCCTCCGCCCGCGACAACCCGACACGCGCCCCCCCCGCAAATCCCCCCCGCCCCCCGGCCCGCGCAAAAACAACGCCACGCTCCTTCCCTCATGTCCCCCAACAACAGGAACAGGGTCTCCCATGGACCTGCCCCTCCGCAGCACCCCACCGAAAAGTCCAGGACTGCCCGCAAGGACCCCTGTGGCCTCAACATCCCGCAAGAAAAAAACGTCTGGAATTGCTCGCAGGGGCCTAAATAGCTTGAAAATGCATGCCAGCAGAAGTGGGACAACGTTGCAAACAGGGGACCCCAAGTGCTTCAAATGCCAGCAAGAAAAAGGGGTCTGGAATTCCTGCACGGGGCCCCAAAGACGCAAAAGCCCTCACAGAAAAAGAGGCTGACATTGCCCGCAACTTTTCTGGCAAGAATTTGCATTAAGGAAAGGTGTAGTCATCCCCTTTGCTCTTTGCAGAATAGTTCTTTATTATAACAAGTATTTTAGTAATACTCAAATGAAGAATTTAACCATTTATGGTAAACAGACTTAACATTTCTTTAAAGATAACCTTGTTTTTACACCATTAAGGCCAGGAAATGTGTAGTGTCTGAAACTGAAACATAATCATAGAATTGTTCTTGATTTCAAGGACAGTATTAAGAAAAGTTAATGGAAAAGCTCTCGGAATCCGCTACACTCTCAACAACCTCTTTAATCCAGGGGATGTAGTTGGACACTCTGGTATACACGCCGTATTTCCCTTTCTCAGCACAGCCCTCTCCCCAGCTTACAATCCCCAAGAGAAACCAGGTGTTGTGGTGAGACACTGTGAAAGGGCCACCACTGTCGCCTTTGCAGGCATCTGCCACTTCAGTGTGGTGCCCTGCACAGAACATGTTATCAGTAACAAGCCTGTCCATTGACCTCTGGCAGGTCTCCATGTTTACAATGGGCAGCCGGACCTTCATGAGGAAGCGCAGAGTTGAACCTCTGTTGTGAGTGGCACCCCAGCCGCTTACCATCCCTATTCTTCCTTCTTCGGATAGCAGGGTGGCAAGGCTGGGGCTCGGAAGGCAGATGGGAATGGCATACTCATTGAAAACAACAGCACTGCTCAGGTACAACAAGGCGATGTCGCTGTTGTAGTTATTGGAATCATAATGTGGATGTGTCCAGCTCCGTTCCACATTAATCTTCTGTTCTTTAAACTCTCTTTGATACTTGTCAAAGTCTCCTGTAGTCACAAGTTAAAATGTTAATCAGACTGTAAACAGCCTCTGTGGTATGGCCATGGGGGGACAGGAATGGGAGTGAATTACTGCTTTGACCTCTTGTACCAAGACAGGACGGAGCAAACCAGATCATGCTCTAGGACAGTAAGTTCTTAGGCTGCTCATGTGATTGGACAAATAGAGCTTCCCAGTTTGCCCTTTGAGGGCAAACCAAAGTTATGGACTGGAGGAACAGACATACACAGAGAAGGTGGCTTCTGTAGTAGAGATTTTGTCATAAATAATTGTCACTGTTTTTCAGTAAGTGCTGTATTTTGAACAGTGTGTCTAAGCTGCAAGGGGTTCCAATCCCTGCCACTGAAACCAGCACTGTGGTACGCTACAAAAAAAGAGGGGCTTTCTGCTGGAGCAGTTAAAGGCACTGAGAAGCAGGCAGCAGAGCAGGAAAGTAATCTTAAGGCTGATTAAAAACCAATCCTGACTGGAGAGCACACCATCAACTACATGAATCCCTCTTCCTTCTAACGTGCACCCTGAGCTCTGCTGTTTCCTGGCATGATGAGTTTGCCAAAATGGGTGACAGAAGAAGGTAAACCTGTGCCTGATGGTCCCAGCATTGCCATGAGAGCAAAAGGGAGCAACTGGAGGCCCTTCACCCTTAGAAGTCACCAATAAAAGGAAGTGGTCTGTAAATCCATGTTGGGTGGGATGTGATGTCTGTTTCTTAACCATATCTTACTCAATTCATGTACAATGCAAAGTACATCTTATGTTAAGAGATTACCCCGTGTTTCTACAATACACAAATTGTACTCACCTATGGTGACGTGGTGTGGCCTGACGAGATCAAGGCAGTGAGCAGCCGTGACCACCCAGCGGCTGCTGATTAAACTCCCTCCACAGAAACCAATGTCTTTGCTATTCCGGATTAAAACCTGTAGGAGGAAGAAGAGCACGTCACCAGGGCTCTGTTGTGTATGTGTGCACACCATCAGTCTCGTGCAGCTTGGGTGCAAGCTCTGTGTCTTGAAAACAACACTTCTGGCAATATCTACAATGCAGCAAATATAGTGACACTGCTAAAACAGTCATAAAACAAAATGGTTGCACATCTGTGACAATGGAGCAGAATGTTACGATGAACCAGGCTTGCCAAATCCAACAGGAGTAGAGCTATGCTGACTGGCATTCCTTTAAGGAAACAAGTGTGATTTATCACATGCCTTCACATTTCTCTGGGGGTGCGGGAGAAGGGTAACACAAGGTGTATTTCACTGGTACTCTGGTTAAAAAAAAAGAGAGCAGCATTTTTGTATATGAACAACGTATAGAAAACAGTTTTTCACATTCCCAATTGTCAAATGAAAATGCCAGTAAGTGCAGACTGAGAAACTGTGTTGGTTTTCTTTTGCTGATAATAAAATCTGGCATTATCTACACAGTAGAAAATGGAGAAGTAAAAACATGCTGCTCACTGTTAGATGTTTGCCTTGTCTATTCAGAATTACAAGCTCTGGTAATGCCTCCGCCTCTCTTCAATTAAACTCCTCCCTGAACCTGTTAACTTCATGTGTTAAACTGCAGGGAAAGCTTAAATTTTGGTACTCTGCAGTTTCTGTGAAGTTAACAATGAAAATAGTGGGAAAAAGGCACAACACGAGTTCCTGTAGACGTTATGTTCTACATCACAAGCCATTTTGACAATTTCCCAGTAGTGACCTATCAGCTTGCAGGATTGCACAGGGACCACGTGGTCCACACAGGTTCAGCCTCCTGTTTCCCCCTGTAAAATATCTCCTGATGGGTGCAACAGCAAAGTCATCTTGTGTGACAGCACTAAAACACTGGCAGTAACCACAGCTGGTTTAGATCAGTCTGTTAACAAGCCCCTAAATAACAGTGCACTGATGAAACAGAGACAGTATAAATAAGTGAAAATTCAGTAACAGAAGAGACACAAAAAGCCCCAAACCAAGATTTAAAAAAAAAAAAAAAAAACAAAACACACATAAAGCCACCAAGAAAACCAAACCAAACCAAAAAGAACCAAAAACCAAAAAACCCAAACACACACACACAAACCAAACCAAAAATCACCAAAAAAACCCCAACCAACCAACCAACCAACCAAAAAAACCCCAAACCAGTGATGAGAAAGTAAGAAAGTATTCAAAGTATACAATTTGTGTGGTATTTATGGCCAGACAGGACATATTACCTGCCAGGGGCAGTGTCCACGATGACACAAAGTTCCTCCCGTTATCCTGGAGCCGTTGTGCTGTAAATTAGAGCTGACGTTTATCTGGACAAACTGAGGCGTGTCTGAAACACGTTCCCAGTCGCTGCCCCGATGAAGCCCAGTCCATGCTGTTTGGATGGCATTTTCCACCACTTCCTGCCTGGTAGCAGGCTCTGTGATCTCTTCCTGCCACACAGGGCCCTGGGTGGCCTCAGGCCACGGAGCCAGGCTTCCCCTGGGCTCGCCAGGCCTGGCGGTGCCTGCCACTGCCTCACTGTGTGCAGAGAAACCAGCCCCCAGTGGCTTCTGTGTCACAGAGTCCACCAGGGTTTTGTTCCCTGCCACCTCTGCTTGTCCTGTGTCACCCTCTGTGTGCATGCTCTGCCCAAAGCCATCCTTTAAGGTCTCATTTTCCCCAGCAGCACTTTGTTTCAGCTCCATTTGCATAACTGTGCCCTCTGTGCTCTCATTCCTCTTGGCTTCATCATCCCCGTGCTCATGTAGTCCCCTCGGGAGCCTTTCTAGCCTCAGCCACTCTTCCTCCAGAGCACTCCTGGCTTTAATCAGGCCACATGGAAATGGTGCTGGAGGGAACACAGACAGAAATAAAGATGTGAGTTTAGGCTGTGTGGTGTCCTGTCAAACTCCCAACACAAAAGCAGGACTTCTGTCCAAGAATAGGATTCAATACTCTTGTAAGAGCCCAGGAATAACTCTGACCCAAACCATTCTATGGTTCCAGGATTCTAACTCTGAGCAAACCACACTACCTGCTTGCACACATCTCTTCCCATCCTCATGCAGGGTGTAATCCTTTGCACAGGAACACACCACGTGAAAGGCGCTGCTGCTGTCCCTGCAGTACTGCCAGCACCCGCCGTTCTTGTACCAGCACTCAAACTTCTCTGCCATGGAAACACACAGGCACAGGTTACTGCTATGCATGGACTCAAGTACCTTCTAGCACCACTGTTACAGGAAGGAGCAAGAAATAAAACCTTCTGAAATCTCACGGGGGAAAGGAGGGAACTACCTCACAGCTCCAGAAAACCTCGCTGATTTGTAGCAAACCAAACACATGGCCTTGTGTCTGTTGCTTGCCTGTTTCTACCATTTCTCCTTTGCCAGTTTTGACCTGAGGCCTTTCTGCCTGTAGAGCAGGGGCAAGAAGATACCTGGAAGAGCAAGTGCTTCTAAATGCATCCATTTTTCATCCATCTGCATATCTTGTCTATCATGACAAATGTAAAGTACTTGGTGGGGGCAAGTCTGTGAGGAACTGACTGAGATCTTTCTACATTGCTCCATTAAACAAACATGTTTCATTGCTTCACAGTAAAAAGGAAAGTTTGAGAAAAGTACGTGGGGGAAAAAAACACTTATAGTTCATAGTTTCCACATGAGTTTGGGTTTTGCTCTATTTTGTGCCTCAGTCATTTGCAAATCCGATACACTAGTTCAGAAGAACAAAAAACTGATGAGAGGGAGGCAGCTTTTCCAATTAATTTTTCATTATTGGCATATTACAACATAAATACAATTTCAGATTTGTTTGCTTTACACTAAGCTTTGGCTTCATGCATTTACTCAAGGAAATTATACAGAGAAGAGAGCCTCACCAGGAGCCACTTCCAGTGGAGGTAGCTGCGGCAGGAGTCACTAGATTTGTTACCACTCTGAAGTGATGACAAGGGGTAACTCCCTATCATTTCTTGGGAGAATATGGGAGGTGGCCACCTGCCTTACTCAGGGCTTGCACTGATGAGTGAAGAGCCCAGGACTGCCACAGCTGTATGACAGGAAGTGGTGCTACCCTCTTTTTCTGCACAGCAGAGGCAGAAGTAGCTACAGCCGCTGTCAGTGTAATTCCCTTCTTGGGGTGGTGGTTCCCCAATTTGTCAAGTGAGAAAACACTGTTCTAATGTAAGAATCTTTAACAACCGACCAGCTTTGGATCAGACAGGTAAAAGTCACCACTGACAACCTTGGTGACACCACTCACCACCTTGGTGAGAAGCCTATGCAAAGGTTTAACTCAAGTATCCAATGAACAAATGCCAGCCTTAATTCTTCACAGTGAATGTCAGCGTGCCCTGTACTCACCTTTTTCGCAGCTGTCTCCTCCAAATCTTGGGGGGCAGATGCAGTAGTAATTGTAGTGTCTTATTTTGCAGACTCCACCATTGTTACAGGGATTTGTATTACATGGATTTAAACCTAAGAAGAAGAAACAAGGCACAGTGCAATTAAGAGAAGCCTGGTTTTAAACTGCCACATAATTCTTTGTACCCAGAATTTGTTTAGATTTCTTTTTTAACCTACCTTTGTAACTGAACCAAAACTCCATCTGCAACAAACCACAAATGAAGAAAGCAGTCAGTAAGTGGCCATACTGGTTACTGATGATATAATTTAGGAAATGATAATGTGGGGCTTTAGGGTGCATGTAAATCAGCACTTTGATTAGAATCATAAAATACATTCTCAGAGCAGATCTGACCATCACCATGCAGCTCGCTTTTGTTTGTGTCATGGACCAGCCACAGAGTGCATAAACTGGGTTGTATTGGAATGAGAATTAAACTGAAAGCTTAGACCCATGAACTCTCCAGCCAGTGAAAGGTCTGTGGTACCAGCCTAGGAGTTTCAGCTCCCACCTAGCCCTCAAAACATGGTGCTGCAAGGCCGTCAGCACCAGCCATTGTTAACTTTCCTCTGTTTTGACTAAAATAAAGTTCCTCACTGTTTTCTCCTGCGAGTGGAAGATCTCCCTGGCCTCCTCAAAGGAACACTTCTCCTCATTGCACTCTCTCTCCAAGTTCCCTGGACGAATCTCTTCTAGAAAATAATTGGCGCGTTTATGGACTTTGAGCACCTCGTGTGCTTCATCCTTCCTCATGAACACTAGAAAACAAAACAGAACAGTTGATACTGGCAGACAGCAAACCGGCACCATTAGTCACTCTCAGTTGAGTAAACAACACAAAGAAGGGGAGTGGGAATCTACATAAATAGCCCAAAACTAAGTAAGATGAGCCTGTGTTCCAACAAAGGACACTGATAGTTTAAGCTTTCTTTTAGTGCATCAAAAGACCTGCAGTTAAGTGCACAAATCATGTTTTACTCCACAAGACTCGAGTATTGCAGTGAGGCTGGCTGTATTTTTCTGTCTAACAGTCCTGATCCACAACAATTGTTAATTGCCTGCGTGTGCATGCAGAAATAAAGCTGAAGGGACAGGTTTGGTTTGTATTTGGTGTCAGCTTTGTTAGATATTCAGTAATATCTGCGCTTTCCAGGTAGCTACAGGCCACAACAGGACAGACACCACTCCTTCATTAAAAGACGTATATAAGCTGTCACGTTTGTAGTTACATTTAGTTATTCACAACTTCGCTTCACTAAGCTATTGGCCCTCCTCCTGCAATGTCTTTAGAGTTATTACTGCCAATAAATTAAGAGATGAGTGACCAGAAGAGGAAATATGGCAGTAAGGCCCTCCCCACATACCCCTGCTGCTCCATATGGCGCCTCTAGCCAAAGCATAGTGCTCCAAGGATTTTCTAGTCAGGATGCTCGGAATGGAAGTGAAGGCTCACTCAGCCCCTGTGGATGTACTGATACCATGTGCTATCACTACTTAGAGAAGATAGAGGTTTTGCTTTTTTTGTTAAATCTCCAGAAGTGTGGCCCTATATCCAAACCCATCCACCTGATAAGACTAAAAAACTGCTGTTAAGAGTTTAAAGAGTTTTAAGAAAGCTCACTTTGCAATTGTGACAAAGCCCACTGAAACTGACACAGCACTTAACGGGACTCTCTTTCCCTAGTAATAGTTTAGTGCCCTAGACAAGTCAAAACCTGACAAAGAACCCCAGCTTTGGAGATGGACCATCAAGACAGACATTTCCTTGCAGCTGCATAGTTGGTATCTAAAGAAATGACTGAAATTCTAGAATATTAAATTGTTTCATTTCTTGGCAATTAGAAACAGCCCACAAAAACTCTCAGCTGAGAAAAACTTTGAGTATATCCTGCTGTCTGGTAATGAGGAAAATGTCTTTCACTTATGTGAAATCTCACCTTGAGTTATGGGGTCATCTTTAAATGATTTACCTATTGTAAGCAGGTATCCCACATAGAAGATATGCCTGTGTAAAGCCTTCTGGTTTGCAGACACCACTTCTACGTCTGTTCTTCATCCTCTGCAAGGACAGCCATAATGATTCCTGAGATCCTGCACACTCTCACGCTTGTTCTAAAGCTCTCTGAAGCCATTTCCTAACCTTGTGTAGTTGTAGTAAAATCAACATGAGGTCCAGGAACACATATTAAAAATGCCTAATTTTAGCTTCCCAAACTGGAAAGCTTTGCCATACAAAAATAGTTCAGATGATGGGTTCAGTGTCACAAGGATAATACTTTGCAACAGCAAAGTTCTTAGTGGTCTAAGTTAAGAAAGGCTGATTTCTCTTGGAAATATAAATATGAATATTCATTTGTTTGCATGCATTTTTGGAAGTGGCTTCTCCAACGCACAGGACTTTTTGTTCAGAAAAGGGATGTAGTTTCAGTTTAAACGCAAGATTGTCACAATGAGACAATGAAGTTAAAAAGGTAATTCAGAAGTACCTACCTGAATATGCATATGTACAGCTGCTGTTGATGGAACACATCAGTAGGAGAAACATCACAAGTGAGGAACTGCTTTCCATTTTAGTGTGCATTCAGAATACTCTTGACTTCCTGCTGACTTCCTTTAGAGGGAAAAGAAGGATAAAATTGGTATATTTTGGAATATAATTAATATAATATAATATATAACATAACATATACAACAAATAAATATAATTGGTATCATAAAACCAAGGACAAATTAACCTGCAAAAAAATACAGAAGTAGAAGCAAGAGGGCAGGAGAAGGGATAAAGAAAGCAAATTCTACCCAGTTAATTTTTGATCTGATGCCCATTGTTTCTTCAAGCCACATCGATGCTGCACACAATAGGAATCCCAACAGTTTGCAGGGCAATGTGCAGAGATTGACCTAGACCAGGACGTGCTGTAGGGCCTGATCTGAAGCTCACAGAAGGAATAAAACCCCTGTGGTGAACATGGGAGGAGTGGATCAGGCCCAAACTGAGCATAAGCCAGTTCCAGTGACAGCCTTGTCTAAACTGCAAAGGATCCCAGGCTGAGGGCTGAGCTGCACACTGCAGCCAGCAGCTTCTCATGGCCTTGTCAAATCAGTCCATGTACGCACACCCCAGTGAGGAGACCATCACCACGTACCTGGCAGTAAAAGTTACAAGATAGAAGTCTCTGTTTCTGCGCATTACCTTCCCAGGCTAAATAATTTATGAGGATTTGACAGCACATTCCTCTTTGCTACACAGATCATTTCCCAAACCCACAGGATCCAGAATGCGTTCACTGTACACAGAACCATGCAATTATACTCACTTTTTTGCTTTATTTTTTTTTTAGGGAAAGACAGGACAGAGATTTGGATGTACACCAGGAACAGCCAGAAGGTCAAGGGGTTGATAATTAACCAGTCACAAATATTGACAGAGAAGAGACAACCTTCTGGGTTCTATGAAACACATTTGAAATCCAGAATCAGAAGAAAATTGGGTGTTTCCACACACATACATATGTGCACTAAAAAAATAATTAAATTTAAAAATCCTTAAAAGCATCCTCTAACAATGAAAGCCACATCTTTGCAACAGATTTCTTTAGGAAAATCTAGATTGTATAAGAGATTTCTGATGCTCCATGATCTTTAAGGTAATACCAATTGATCTGGAAAATACACAAACTGCTCTGTAAGCATCTGTTAAAATATGCAGAGCTATAAGCGTAGAAGAATTCATAGCAGTCACCTGCAGGAAGGCAAATATTGCCCTGCAATAGTCACAGCTATTCACGGACATTACAATTTCTGTCTTTAATTAGAGCCATATTTTACTGGCTTTGAACACAATAACATTTTTCCTTGCAATTCAGTGACTAGCAATGCTGGCCTTCTCAGAAGCACATGTTCCTGGTGCAGGCTCTGGCTGGAAGGCTGCTGTTCAAAGCATTATTCTTTAAGGTCCATTTATCCTTCAATCCAGTCCCAAATGAAAAAGGGCAGGGGAAAAAAGAAAAAGAGAGACAAGAGACTGCTGACTGTGCTCTTTGGTCTCAGCTTACCTCCAACATGAAGCCCTTAGCCTGACTGCTACTTTAACACATGAATCAACTTCAGCACTTGCTTATTAAACATGTAAGCAGCCTGTAAGTCAACAAGACTAAGTCCACAAGTTCAACAGGAATTAAACCTCTTTGCTGGCACCATATTAAATTTCTTACAAAGCCTAACACAATGTTATTGTACCTGAAGTTTGTTTCATTTAGCAATCTCATCACTGTAGCAGACTGAAGTTCTTCACTGATACAAAGATGGGTCCAATTCCTGATTGAGATACTGGAAACATACATCACTACAGCAGTTAGCTTCACCTTTTTGTTTCTACAAGATTATATATAGTATATTATATTTAGCAAGCTTAAATGCTAAGATTAAAAGAAAGTATAAATTGTGATTTAAACTTCATTTTGACTACTGCTCTTCCTATGAACTTACTGGTACTGTATGTTTATTTTAGTTACTGATATACACACAGATATACAGGCCCAGATGCAAACACAGACACGCATATCAGTAAGTATTAGCAATGCTAAAATAGCCTGCAGCTGACTGCATTCACTAGAATAGGAATGAACCCAAGCATTTGCTTAGCTTGATAATTAGAAAAGATTTACAGGCCTTAAGTTAAATAGAGCATGCAAAATCTTGAAGTTAAACCTCTTTTTCTGTAATAACACAGAATTCCCCTTGACTTTTAAGGAAGTCTTGGGGGGGGGGGGGGGGTGTGTGTGTAAAATCATGCATTGAGTGTGCAAACAATGGAACAGAAAAAATGGAGACATTCTAGTGACCTGCTGAATCAGCTTAATCTGTGAGCACTGGAGTAAGATGTGAATGAGTGGAGGCAATAATGATGTTATTAGAATTCCATCATGTTCAAAGAAAAACTATGCAACTATACAGCAAACCAAATCAGGTACTGTGATCATGCTGCAGTAAAGCTGGAATGACAGAACTGTATCACTAAAAAAAAACACTTAAACCACTTTTTTCTGAACCCTCCCATCCCTCACCCCAACCAATTCAGTCATTTTATACACAAAGATGGAGTTGCCTGACCATGGACCATCTTATTTTCTGCAACGCTGTAAAGTATCTCAGTGTAACAGGGTATTATTTCTTGCCTGTAAGGCCTAGTGTAGGACCATGCTACAAATAAACCCTATAACCTGGAAACTAACCAACATAAACTAAGTAAAAAAGAAATTAAAAAAAAAGGCATAACACAGGTACCAAGGAAAACAGTACACAAGGTTAACATATACTCCATATTTAATACTGAAGATCTGACAGTACATTACACTGCATACTGTCAGTAGCACATAGCCACAATATTCCAGACTTTCAGTATCAGAGTCAACCCTGCCAAGAAGCTGACATCTTATCTATGTGGTGTTGGATCCACTCAAGATACTGACTAACTTTGGTGTAGACTCCAAACTTCTCCTTTCTCCCACAGCCTTCGCCCCAGCTCACCAGTCCTACCAAAAACCAAGTATCTTTATACTTAGTGATCATAGGGCCTCCACTGTCCCCACTGCAGGAATCTTTTCTGTCTCCTAAGCTGCCAGCACACAGCATGTTGTCAGAGATAGCAAATCTCATCGCCTGGGCACACTCATTCCGGGGAACCATGGGGATTTGGATATAACTGAGGAAAGTAGAGTAATTGCTGTTAGCATCACTTGTGCTGCCCCAGCCAGTTACCACCATCTGCTTCCCACTTGTCATCAGCTCCTGTTCTGCCAGGTCACGGGTGGGAAGGCAGATAGGGAGCGCGTATTTGTTATACATCACAGGCTCAGCCAAGTGCAGCATGGCTATGTCATTATCAGATGTCTCCTTGGTGTAGTTCTCGTGGCTCACACATTTATCAACCCAAATGGTTTGCTCATCTGCCTCAAGACGGAGACGGTGGAATTTACCTGAAAGAGCAAACAAGATGGCAGATGCTACTGAACCTTCCTTCACCTTGAACACCAAAGCATCTGGATTACACCGGGCTTTAGGACTGTACTTCATGTTTTTACTTCTCTTGCAGTATAGACATTCAGTCATTTATGTTACAGGTTAACAGTGTTACGAGATGGACGAATATGTGAATTTTCCATATTTACCTAAATCATGAACACATACAGTACTAATTGGATTTTAGTACCCTAGAGCGGTGGTTATCGGTTGAGAAACTGAAATGCCCCGTTGGGTTCACAACACAGTATGCTTGTGCCACATGAGAGATCTTCAGGAGGAAAACAATCTTCCTGGAGTCAGTGTTAAAAGCTGGGAGAACAAGCATACAGCAAAGCAAGACACTTCAACAGTACATGAGCTTTATGCTATATAACCAGTGCCTGAATGACTAAATTCAGGGTTTATAACATAAAGGTGACTGACTGGTAAGGCTATTCCTTTCTCAAATCTTGCCTCTGTAGGCAAGATTCAGTAATTTTTGACTAATTAAGACTTCTCAGTTGTTATTTGTGCTGCATGATCATGGCTACTTTGTGGGCCAAGCAGTCAGGGAACAGTAAACAGGAAACTAAGCTGAGAATGCCAGAAAGGCACAAACAAGTAATTTGTGATACACTGGAAAAGACAGAGACATATCTCTCTAATAGGCTGTGAAGAGATAACCCCAAAAATAATTCAGTGGCTGTCACATTTCTGAACTGTGCTGTTGGCTAATTTAAGCTTCATATCAAGGCCTACTTCAGTATATACTTGAGAAAAACACTCAGAGAAGTGTCCATAATACTCATTTGAGCTGCAGGCAGGCACACATCCAAGCACAAGGTGGCAGGACACTGAGGCTGACACCTTACCTCTGCCCAGGTTGCATGTGTGTGACAGAAGTGTGCTTTCCTGCTCAGTCTCACTATAGGTGACTTGGAAGTTGCTCTTTATCATCACCTTTTCAAATGTGATGTTTCACAATACGAGCCCTTAAATTTGTTCCCTCACTCCCTCATTAACTCTTGCCTTCTTTCAGTCTTATTTGAACCCCTCCAGATACAAACTCTGCAGCCAAGTTGCTCTGACTTTGCGTGCACACACTTCTGGATGCTCTTAAACTGGAGCTTCCAACTTCAGCTACTCTGAAAGCTAACTTAATTTCAGACACTAAAAATCCACGTGAGTCCTGCTGCAAAACTATTGCTTGTGAGTGCAAACCCAGCTGTAAGCTTCCCCTCCAGTTTTGCTCTTATGGTTGGCAAGCAGCGCCACAATGAACTGAATCAAGAAAAGTGATGGGTATCCCAGCCTAACAGAGGCAGGCTGGGCACCACCTCTGCAGGCTCAGTATGAACTAAGCATTCATTACTGTTTTGGGACTCATACCTGACCCCTCTGACATGGCCATGTCTCCATTGAAACTCAGTTCCATGTACCTCACTAGATGTCTCCAGGTTTTAGAGCAGATATTTTTCTGATGAGAAATGCTTTTCTGATGGCAACAGAATTCCCCAAAGATACATTTAAAAGGAAAACCATGTGGGTCTTAAAAAGGATACCCTCTGCTTGACCTGGAGTATCTTTTGGAGGAGGATCTCTTTTGGTGAAGTCTCAGCCTGTGGTCATCTCAGTCCTGCACACATCCACCCCAGTACCCCAGTGAAGGGCCCTTCTGTGGTTTCCATCCCACCATAGCAATATTGTTCAAGGATGAATGAGAGAGGTTCTCCTCTCATACATACCAACTCTCACTCCATGGCCACACTCTTGCTCTTCCCCTATTAATAAGGCAGGTCTTTTGGGCAGCTAGAGCCCCTGTTGCTGATCACCCTTAACAGTATAAATTACTCTGTAAGCTCACTCCAAATTTCTATGTGAGATGTCTCTTGACTTTTATTTAAACCAATAAAAATACCTTCTCAAATCAGGGCTCTCAAGTGCCCTTCACTCACTGACAACCACTTTGTATTTGGCTAGCACAGGATTCTCCTGACAGATCTCACCCTTCTTTCTTTGCTGCAGAGATCTCTGGGCATGGCTATTCCAGCTGAAAGCTTGTCAGACCCCACAGATCTCTATCAAGACCTGCAGTAAGAGGCCAGGTTGGAACAATTTAAGTGCAGCCTCAGTATTTCCCGTAGTTACCATTTTCCTGCTGACTGTTCCCTTTAAGTTACACTCAAAGCTACGTCTAGCACTGCAGAGCCTTCAAACATGACACCCAATAGTTGCTTTTCCCCTAAAACATTACAAGATTTTTTACCAAGCAAACTGCACAGGATTCTTCTTGGGCCTCACTAAAACTAAATATACATATTGGCAATCACTTAGAAGGGAAGAAAATTACTTACTAGTAACTGGAACTGCTTGGAGATGTGTACTCTCTATGCACATTTTCAAACTACCACATGCACATATGCCTTGATATCCCTCTGTGGTAAAGGTGTATATTTGGCACTAAGAGGACTCAAGGCTATATTGCATTCCTTTCTATTCATCCTTTATGTTGAACAACAGAGGACGTACATTAACATATCCAAACCTACGTGCCTTGTTGCCTCTGTTCTCAAACATCTGCACATCCACAGTCTATATGGAACATGCATACAAGCAATATATTTCCAAGACTACATATAGAGACAACAGAATTGCAAGATTTTCCACAACTACAGGGAGCAACCTATCTTTTCACTAAAAGAGAGAGAGCACAGTTGAGCTGTTATGCCTGCCACCAATGGTAGACAGAAAACAGTAATTAAAAATCTACTTAAGTGTGAATAGAACAATGATTATTTTTGTCTATTAACTCAGAAGCAGTACTGTACCTGACATAGACTTTCTTATGCTTAAAAGCAGAACTACCAGTAAAGGCAGCGTTGCTATTCTGCAGCATTTCTCCTCCTTTGCTACTGAAACTCTCATCATGGTGTTTAAATGTATGAAAAGGCAGGAAGAGGAGCTGTGACATTCTCCTCCTGAGATCAGGACTTTTCTGTTTCACTATTGGAATGACCTCGAATATTTTCATCACCAGAAAAACACAAGCAGAAGAGACTAAGCCTTGCTACTTTACAGACAAGCAGCAGTGCTCAGGAGACATCAGCTCACTTCCACAATAAGGCTGGTAGTGGCTCAAATGAAATGAGATTTTTACTAAACTTTTTTGTTTTGTGCTAAGGTGCATCCTAAATATTTCCTAGACAATCTACTCCTACAGCCAAGAAGATTTTTGTCCTCATAACCTGCTAGTCTTTCTCCTGAGATGATAAACCATGGGAATCAAGCAGTTATAATTAAAAAACACAGTGACAGACTTTTTTCCATACCAAGTCTCACTTTGAGCCCATCCTCTGCCTCAGTGCAGTGCGCTGCCGTCAGGACCCAGGATGGATGGATGAGAACACCCCCACACAGGAATTTCCCTTTGCTATTTTGCAGCATAATCTGAAATAAAAGAGAGTGCTGACACTGCATGGAGCATGGCTCACAACACATTGTACATATTCTTCTTTGTGGTTCCAAAATACCCAAATTCACCAATGTCACATTCATTGCAGCCAAAGCTCAACAGTGGGACAAAAGCACAGTAAGGTCTCTGTGGAATATCTACAAAAGAATTTTGAACATTCTTCTTGAATGAGGGCTGGATTCACCCAAATCAGCATGGGATGATGCTGGTCACTGCAAAGAAGCACTCTGGTACTTCCAAGCTTTGAAACACAGAGCTCAAATGAGGGAATTATTCTTGTGGCCATAGCACACACCAGAGACAGTGTGTCATCTCAGGCTGCAACACACATGCTATGGTATAAAAGGGCCTTTAATGTCAAAGAGAACCAGGCCCTGATCATATACATTCAGTGGTTCCACAATAAGCTCTGCAAAGTTTTCCCTTTCTCATGTCCCAGCCTGCTCTGTAAAACTATGGCATATTTTGCTGATTAAATCTGCTAACTTGGATTTATGACAGATGAGGCTTATAAAAACAGATCAGTGCACAAAGGGAGAGGACGCCGCCTCACACTGCCACTGTAACACAGTAGCATGAGCTGCAGTAATTAAGTGTCCTTGCCAGAATGTAGCAATAGAGTAGGTTAAGCGTCATCACTATCCTCTCTCTTGACACTGGTGGCAAGGCAAGGTTAAAAAACAGGTCAAGAGTCCCAAGATAATAAATCAGTTTTCCTGTTACTCCAACTTATGGGTTGCTTTTGAAAAACCTAAGCTAAGGGAATCTTAGTTTCATGTGACACTACCGCTAGTAATGTAGGAGCCTTTCTGAAACAGCTAATCAGGCAAAGCTGTTTGGGAACAGCCTCAACTATCTGTGGTAAAAAACTCCTTTTTCCTTACCTGCCAAGGGCTATCTCCCCTTCTTCCTATTCTTCCCTCAATGAGACGAATATTGAATCCTGCTTTGGCTTCAATGTAATCCATTTTCACTCTTCCACAGGGGAACTCCACTACAGGAGATGCAGAGAAGTTAACTAGCAAAGACCAGATCACCCAATACAAAACCTCCTTCTAAGGCATTCCCTCTGTCTCTTTAACCTAGGCAATACTGTTCAATGACTTCACAGAAATCCCTCAGTGCTTTGCAAAGGAAGCAGTTTCCCGATTCCCCTGCATGTCTCCAGGAGGCAAACACAGGCTAAAGGCCATAGAGTGGGTACAGAGTTGGGAAAGGCAGGCACAGAGTTGCTTTGCATGGAATGGATGTTTTGAAAGCTAGTACAAAGTACACTGCAGACAATTCTCTCATAAAACTGTCTTATTTCATGTTTGAATAATCCTCTGTCAAATCTGGATTATGAACATCCGCCTCGTACCTACAGGCTTGCACATCGTATGGTCATTCATCAACTGATACCCAGAGGCACAGCTGCAAGTGCGGTACTGGTTGCCAGGGTCATCTGTGCAGAAATGCTCACATCCTCCATTATTGACAGAACAGTTGGTGTACTTGACTTCTGCAGAAGAAATGGAGTCCAAGAGATATATGAGAAGCTGGAAAGCCAAAGAGTCACAGGAGGGTAAAGCAGCAAAACAACAGCATGATTCTAGTGAGCAAAAGCTGACAATGACAGTTGTAGGCTTTAATGGCAACTCAGCCCCTGAGACAGCAAACAGACCTTGGTCCAGTAGGTGGCAGCAAGGAGATGGAGAAAACCGGTTACTGTTTTGGGGCAGGTAGACCGGACAACAGGAAACTCATTGTCACTGAGCGCAGGTCAGGCAGTGCAAAGTGTTGATACATGACATACGCACTCATCACTAAAAATGCTACCCAGCTTTTGTGCAAGGAAGATATTGTCACAGTAATGACAATGAAGTATTTGCAGTGGATTGTTTTCCCCTGTATTGTAATAAACTCCACCATTGTCCCTGGGCTGACAGTTCTGAAGTGGCTGAAAACCCTGCTTTACAGAACTAGTTCCAGTATTTTTGTAAAATTTAGGTATCTCAGATCTCCAAACCTCTCCCATGGCAACACAAAGTTCATTTTGTTTTAGATAAGCAGAGATAAAAAAGAAAATCGCAATTAGTAAAGCAAGCGAGTACACTGTGCTGTGATAAAAGTGTCAATCCCTATTATACACAGACCCCTGTCACAAAGAATGTTATGTTATAGAGGATTAAAGGCAGCATTACCATAATTGCAAAAAACGCCCTCCCAGCCTTTGTTACAGATGCAGGAGAATTTTCCAATGTTGTCTTTGCAAATCCCATTGGAACAAGGCTGTGGGTTACATTGATCTCCATCTGAAACAGAGGCAGAAAAACTCAGTCTCTGTATCACAGAGAGCTCACTGATCAAACATTAACATGAACAGACACCCCCCCAGATTCCCAAGCATCACTGATAGTTTCTGACACATAATGGTGCTACCTCCATGATGTTAGCCCAGAGACAAGAGTGTTTGTTTGGGTTCTGAAGTACAGCTGCAGGTGAGTGGAGTGCCTTGACCAGGGCCTTAGATCCAGGGACTGATGACGGGCACCTCAAGTTTTTTAGGAAGGTTGCTTGTATGATAGAACAGGAAAACATTCTTTGCACACCCCATATAAGAGAGAATGAGAGTTGGAATCAATATGTGATACATGGAAGCTGGAAGTGTAAGTACCAGTTACTACTGAAGAAATACAGAGAAGCGATTAGGGAAGTCTTTTACTTACCTACGTATTTGCTCCAAAAATCTCTCTGTGGAGAAACAAAACTGACATTAAGTCTAGAAGCAGATTTTTAACAAGCAATTGATTTAAAGTGTATCATGATAGCACAGCAACAGAGCACAGCACCCCCATCAACAGCTTTGGTTTCATTCTTCTTGATTGGTACTACAAACTAACAAAACTGGGCAACCCAGACATACCTGTACTCAGCGCAGATCCCCCTGCCCTGCTTGCAGACCCACCAGCACTGCAACTACTCAGTATCCCCTAGATTCTCTGTTTCCCTGTCACTTACTGCCAGACACTTGTGTTGTTGAGTTCACGATTTATTTGTGCCCAGTTAGACAAAACACGGGCATTGTGAAGACAGACCCCACTTCACTCTAGGTTCTGAGGGACAGCAAGGACTGATTCATCCTATGTGGTGAGTCTGCTCTGCTTAGTAAGAAAAGTAAGAAAAAGTCCAATCCAACACAACAATTGGATTTGGAAAGGGGCAGGAATCAGTGATGTTGACAATAAAGTTAGCACCCAATTGAAAATATAAGGTTTGGAGAAGGAGATAGAACCTAGTAATAACAGAAATGTTTGTGAGGCACAAGTGAGAGACTGGGAAGATAGAGTGTAAGGCCGTCAGGGATGGCTAATTGATAACAGAGGGAAAAGGACTGGGAAAAACTCAGTGACAGCAAGAATAGCCAACTGGGTCAAGCAGGGACTGGGAGTACGTGGCTGGGACCTTAACCTCACAATTAGGTCAGGTGGGCCATACAGGTGGTAACTTGACAATTACTTGTAACACAGGGACATTCAAATCATGCCTACACCTTACTAGTCAGGAGTGATGCATGTTTGGTGCTGACAGCAAGATCTCCCATGCCCTGCATTGAAATACTTAAGTAAACAATTGACTGGTTAAATCCCACATTCATCCTTAAAAAAAAAAACAGACTTACAGTTGCTTCCTTGGTTTCAAATATCTCACTGGCCTCCTCAAAGTCACACCGCTCCTCAACGCACTCACGCTCCACAGAGCCCGGTTTGAGCTCCTCCAGGAAAGAGTTTGCACGCTTCTGGATTTTCAGGACCTGGTTTGCATCTCTATTGCTGTAAAATACTGGAAGCAAGAACGTGAAAACACAAAGCAAGGGAAAAGAGCTGACTGAAAACCAGTAGTGGTCCTTCCCAAGGGACATTTACCAGAGCAATAGCCCCTCCCTAGCGCAGCAGGAGAGCCTGCCCTAGAAAAGATGGGCTGTCAGTGCTGTGCTGCAGAAGCAAGCTCCAGCCTCTGCTCTGTGGTACTTAGCTTCACAGGACTTATGAGGGCTGTGACCAGGCAGCCAACATGGCCCAGCACTGGGTCTGTCAACCTCTACTTAAAGAATTCAATCTCCCCAGTGGAAATGATTCCAGACACTCCCCATGACCGACAGAGGAGCAGGAAATGTACTTGCAGTGACCAGAAAAGGATAAAGGGTATCTCTAAAATTAAAACTTACTTGAGGCACTACAGACTTGTGAAGAGAGGGCAGCCAGCAGCACCCCTATATTGACGAGCTTCCACATACTGCAGCAGGTGTCACCTAAAGAAGAGAAGATAGGTGTGAAGAGGCAATCACTGCTGAGCTGCAGCACGACCCCCATGCTGCAGACAGTTGCTAGTCAGAGAGCTCTGCTACCTCCCTTGCTTAGTGCTGTGTTGTGCTGTGACTTTCTGTGATTCCAGCTCCAAAGCAGCCGCTCACTGGAGGCCCTCCAGACTGGTTTGTTAGATCCATCTAACCTATCAGCAGCTCTCCCAGAACACTTCATGTCTGCTCCAACATCCTCCCCTTGTCGTATTTTTGACAAGCTTTACACTTCATTAAAGCAAGCGGTACTGTGAAATCCCAAAGGATACAATACTTTGGAAGCACTTACTGCTTTATTCACTCTGAAACAGCGAGATCTATTCTTCAGCCATGAGCTCTGCTGGAACTTAGTTAATCCATAACTTTAGCTATTTACTCTTTGGAGTGACATGAAGTGCATTCTTTTTAGTCACTAAACAAACAGTGCTCACGGGGAGCTTGACGATTTACCTGCATGCAGGAGAAAACCAAAACAGCTGAGGCACACACTCTGCCTTTTGCAAATCTGTTTTCTTTTTCCTTTTGATTCTCTGGCAAGCAGAAATGGTTATATTGAGTTTGTAAGTGCAACCATTCAGTGCTGAGGCCTCTTGAGAGATCCTACCACAGCATGCAATCACCCAAAAGGGACACATATTGTTATTTTAAGAGGCCTCCCACTTTATTTCTTCATCAAAGGTTCCACTGCAAAACAGCCAAGGTAACTAACACACACACCCCACACCCCCCCCTTACAGCCATGAGCAGGCAGTACCTGCCCATCAGCCGCCTGCTGTGAGGAGTCAGGACAAGAAGCTTGTACCAGCATACTGCATCTTTAGGTGCACTGGACCAGCTCTCATCAGCGCAGAACCTCTGACTGAACTTTGAATATTCAACATTTTAAAGCAAAACCACAATGCTTTTAGAAGTTTTCCCGCATCGGAGATAGCGCGAACCAGTGAGTCCCCTTCTCTGGGAGCAGCCTGCGCAGCGGCACCTCTGCAGGCCGTGCAGAGCATGGCATCTCCACACAAATAACCTGTGCAGCCATGAGTCCTTAAACGTTCTTCATCGAGAAAGTGCCACCAGGTGTCAGAGAAAGGCGAGGTTCCCCAGACCCTCAGCTCCCCTCCAGTAACACCGTTTAGGAGAGCTCTGACCACTTGTAAAACTTTTTTCCCCTTTCCCTTACAAACTTGGCCATGGAGTTTCTTGAAAACAAGCTCTCTCTAAACAAAGGTTTCAAAGTTCATCCACTCAGGACTCGTGCGGCATCCAACCTCACAGTGGGGAAGATGTGTGCACTGTGAACCTCTGCTGATCCATTCTTCAAACTGACAGGACAGAGTACCTCACACCATATACTTCGTTCTTCTTGTTTTCCCTGTGCATAAAAAAGCCAAATGCTTTGGTTTTGCCTCTTCTATAGGAAAGCTTCTGGAAAACTCAAAAATGTGTTCTCAGCTTTTACCTCCTGAGCCAGGAGTGCTGAGTCACTTCTCTCAAATTTTTCTAAATTGCAATTTAAATTTAAAATGTAAATTTCTATAAATTATTTATAGGCAAAGTAAGTTTTGACAGAAGGAGGAACTGAGGCAGTAAAGCTACAAGTCCTCAAATCACAGCTCTTCAGCAATCAATCTTGTGTTGCATCCATCACTTCTTCCTACTTCACCAAAAGATCTTTTAATTTGTAACAAATCCGAACAATTCACTGAGCAATAAAAGCACTAATCCTATTTTCTATATGCACACTGGAGCCTCTCCCTGCCAGAGCACTACCAAGATCTCACTCTCATCCTCAGTACTGATTTCTTGCCAGATTTGCAGAAACATAATGTTCTATGAGCCATCTGTTCCCTCTGAATCATCTGACATGAGACAGAAAGTTCCCAACAGGCATTAAAAGGGGAAAGACAAGCTGATACAGCAACAGACAACCAACCAGCTCATGCTTCCCTACAAAACCAAGCTGGAATATTAAATCTCCTTCGGCTTAAACCACAAAAGGTCAAGGTTTTGCATAGCTGACACATAATCACAGGAACACACTACCAGGACAGCAGAAAACACCTCTCTGTGGAGAGCCTGTGTGTGGGGAGGCAGCTCAGAGCACATCCCCAGCAGGCTGCTGGGAAGTGCTGCTGTGAATCCAGTCTGCAGCCTGGAAGCAAGAATAATTTGACAGAGCCCCACCTGCTCCCATGACAGTCCTTCCTAGCCTGTTACTTCCCTGGCTGGTATCTGCTTGCACCCACCTGAAGCTGCAGTCTGAAGTCAACAGAAGTGGTAGGTCTTCTAGGTCACATGCAAACTCCTCCACTTCTTCCTTTCTTGTGAAGACAAAGATTTCCAGGTCACTGGTAAGCCAGCAAGTGCTGGAACTCTTCAGACAGAAATTGCTACAGAACTGACGTGTATCTTTTAGGTGTTATTAGAACAAAACATCACTTTCCATGGTCTGAAAACCTTTTCATCCTTCCCGCATGAGAATTAAGTATCTCAAGCTGCTCAAGGCCCAGCCGGTGGGTGCACAGATACTTATCCCAACCAGGCCCATAGGAATGAGGAATTTACCTTATGACGCTGAAGCTGCTTTACAGGTGAGGAATGACAGGGCTTCTCAACATGTTCGTTTGCAGTGCTGCCCATTCAGTGGGAGCAGATCTCCTCAGCTATCCTGATGCTTTACACTGTGTTAAAAAAACCAAACACATAAACCCCACCAACTCAACAATCAGGACAAGGGGAACACCAGCAGAATGCATTGTTTAAGAGAACCCTCATTGGTTCTTCAAGATGTTTACAGCACACCTCCCTTTTAACCCACTGCACCCTACCAAGATGCATTAAGTAGTTACCAATCAAACCAAGAGGATGGCAGCCCTGAGCAGTTGTTTGGACATCCCAGTAATGATACACTGAGTGCATTGAGAATGGCCAAAAGTTTCTTGCTATTGGTTTCTGCCACATAAATAGGTAAAAGACCAAAATGAATTCCCGGTATCAGACGAGTAAGTGTATCTTCTGTGTCTCTGCTGCTGCTTTCTTTGCATGTTTTTTGTAGTAAACTTAATGCAGAGCCTAATACTCAAGTCTGGTGTGTGTGTGAACAAATGCAGTAACTTTCTTTTTCTCTTTATTACTTCTCTAGGTAACTTAACATTTTAAAGATCAATTTTACCATTTTCATTTTGCAATGGTACGTAATATTACTACAGTTTCTTATGTTCCTGTCACATAAACTATTCTCTACACACTTTAGTTTAACTATAAAATACAAAGGTCTTTTTCACATAGAAAATATTCACAAACATTATAAGTTACTTCCATTTACTTTGCAACAGTACTATGTAACTCTTACAAGCTTCTTCAAGTTTTAAATTAAAATGCCTAAAGTTTCCTGTCAGCAACTTACAAACACATCAGTCTGTACAGATGGAAGAGAGAGCTCATCACAAACTAATCCATGAACTGCCCACCCAAACATCTCTAAATCTTTTAGTTTCGAATTTACAGGTGTCATTTTAGTCAGTGTCTACATTTCATGAGAAAATTAATTTCTCCTACATTCGCTTATTCCAGTTACCATACATATTGCCTGCAAAAAATTGAAGGCACAGGAGCCCAAGTGCAGCAGAGCAATGACTGCTCCCCTCTCATCATGGAACTGCACCACCCTGACCAGGAAGACATGGTTCCACCACCCCACCCCATGAGAGGTCTGCAAGCACGTGGAGGTAACTAATAAACACCCTGCTGGGTTTCTGAAAGTATCTCACCATCTACCTGTTGGTTTCCAGACAGTGGAGCTATGATCAGGATGAGCAGCAGTAGAACCACTATGTTTAAAACATCTCTTCTTTTGATGCCTGCAGATACACAGATAGTAAAAATAAAACTACATGATGTCTTCTACTCCATGCCAATTAAACCAATGCAAAGAAATGTTACAACAATCACAATTACCATTTCACTCCTTTCTAAGGAACAGCTTTAAGCTTCTGATGCAACTCAGGATAAAGCCATTTTATCACAGAACAATTTTTTATTAGCTGGTTTTCACCAGATGGGCATTGCAGCCCTCTCACACAATGAAATCAGTAACAGAATCTTTACTGGAAGCTCAGAAACATGTTTACTTAATATACAAGAAAAACTTATTTACAACAATCAACAGTAAACTATGTACAAAAAAATACAAGAGACATTTCCATGGTAATTACTGTATAAATTAACACAATAAATAGGAGGGAAGCAGGTCCCATTCTTAAGGCACAAAACCTTCTTCCCAAGACTGTACAGGGATTCACTTGCTTCCCTATGCTTTTGACAGGATCACAGGAACGGCGGGGAGACCCCTGAGGAACAACGGTTGGTAGACGGTGATACAGACACGCAGTCACTGCTGACAGTTGTAGAAAAACATCATTTTTCATCCTTTCCTTTTTACAGTACACACATCTTAAGATACAAAATGTTTTGTGTAAACAGGTTTGGTTTTTTTTTTAATCACATAGACAGTATGCACAGTTTTAAATAATACTAAAACAATGAACAAAGCTGTCCGTATGATTTGAAAATTTCCCGGGACTGGCACTGAAGGCCTCAGCAGAGATGGAAGCTCCTGGGTGCTTGTGTGGCTCCAGCCAGGCCAGCACCTCAGGGCCAAGCAGCACAGCTCCCCTCTGCTGCGAAGAGCTGGCTCCTGCTGCAGCAGGGTATGTGTGCTCTCACCATTAAGATCCCACAAGCAAAACCAGCCCTCCCAAACATAGCCCAGAGCAGGACACTGCTGAGAGCTGCTTCACAGGCCAGACCTCCCTTAAGTCCCCATTGCATGCAATCCCATTTCACTGAAACATCACAACACAGGGTACGTTATTGCCCAGAATCTGCCATTAAAGTTACATATACAGGGCAGTGCCAGAATGTGAGATAATGTACTAAAACCTCTTTCCTAGCAAAAGAAACTGCATGCCCAGCTCACTTGCAGACACTGCCCCAGTATCACTCCCAAGGGTGAGGGATAATAAACAGAAGGTGCCACATGGCTTTCACATGAGGAGCAGTTTTCAAGAGACTAAACATATGTGTGACATGTCCACTTCTAGCTTCCCTCAAACTGGTGGTTTACCCGAGACTGCAGCAGAGTCTCCTTTTTGGCAAAGCAGCAGATCTTTTACTGTCCTATTTCTTTCCTGAGTTTCTCTCCCACAGAAAATCACCACTTGCCATTAAAAGGAACTTGGAATACTGTAGCCAGAAGTTCAGCCTAGTTCCCTACTTTGCAGGTAGCTCTCACTGATGTTTTGAGACAAACTCTCCTCATCTAACCACAAAAACTCTGCAACAGGAATCTCCATCACTCCAAGACACATAGAGCTACAACCCTTTTGTTTGTTATAAATCTTAATAAATATGCAAAGGCACT